ATAAAAATATTGGGGGGGGGGGGAAATACAATGCTTTTCACTGTTCTTTTCTAGGACATTCCTTCTCAGACAGCACATCTGGAAACTGCAGTTAGACTGTGTTTGCTCCCGGTTTATGAGTCTGTGTGATAGCTACGGTGGCTGTCCCCAATTAGCTGAGTTTTCTCATTTGCATTTGTCGGCTGGAGTATAATTGGAGTTTCTCCATCTAAATCAACCAGAAAAAAATATTCCTGTAAACATTTTTGATTTGATACAAAAGTCAAGATATTTTTTCCAACAGAATTATATTGTTTCAGCTACAGACTCATTTAGGGCCTAATCCCAGATTCCTGGATGAAGAAAAGAGATACAAGATTGTATTCTAAATCAGAGTGGGTGCATCTACATGTTCATTAATATGCCATAATTACGGCACATTAAGTTTAGTACCTGTAATAACAGGTACTAACTTAATAAGCCGTAATTGGCACTACTGTGCATTAGCGCAGACGAATGCTTTTTGTGACCTTAATGTGTATTAGACTAAACATATTCTGCGTTAGAACATTAGCATGATGTTTGCCAGCCATGCTAATGCGCAGTAGAATTAGTCTTCGAGTATTAAGCACCTCATGTAGACATGCCCAGCTTGTACCCAAAGAATTCTATGCTTAATAGTAATATAAAGTGTACATATGATGCCAGCTTTGTACACTTACCCCATATCATTACCTCGTAAGCTATCTTGAAACATAAGCATAGCCATGCAAACATATTGTTGTTGTTATTATTAAATTGAACACCTACTTGATGGATGCTTTACAGACTCAAAGATCAGAATCCATGCCCCTTACTTATATAATCTAAGCTCTTGATACTGCAAAGACTTTTGGGTGTACTGGTTACTCTTGAAACTTATTTTAACTCATCGTAGCAAGTCAGTAGGACTGGGCCCTTTGATTTAAAGAATATAAAGATAACGATAGAGAAAGAAGGGATGAGTGTTAAAATGGAAAAAAAATGTAAGTAGTGATATATTCAGGAGAAAATAAATCATATAGTTTCTGAAGGCCAATAGGGTCTATAAAAATGCTAAGTAGCCTTTTGAAATCCTGTGTAACACATTTATCAGAAGACTTTGAGAAATCATTCAGAACACTTTGGGGCTGGCAGAGATTCATATGGCTACGTTCATTCTTAAAGCTTTGTATACTCTCATTTATCAGATTCATGTTTTTGTTTTCCCAACACATCAATAAAAATGAGTCAAGCATTTTGTTGGAGAGAGTGGTTGTTCTGGGGGAAATGATAAGTCCTTCCATTGACTGGAGTCTGCCCACAGCCAGCTAGTGTTATGTTAAGGGTCTAAAATGTGGAGTGTTTTAATGTCTCTCTCCTTTTCTAGGGCATCTTTTCAGCCCAGCTGCTCAAGGTGGGTTCAAGTCTCAGGACTTGGCTTTTAAAGGCTGAACAATCTTAATCTTTTCTATTTAGTACCCCAGCTTTCTGCAAGTCCATTCACAGCATCTGATGAAGCAGGCTGTAGTCTAGGAAAACTCATTACTTTCTGAATGAAGTAGTCCATAAGGTGCCATGCTGCTCCACCTTTTGCCTAACTTCAGACTGATCTTTATATGACACTGCATGAAAAGTTTGGCCTACTTCACTCTTGATATTAGCACATGCCCTTTATAGTAGTTATAAAAAAATCATTCCTTTTTTCCTAAAATACGGTGCATGAAAAAAGGCATTCAGACATTCCCATCACTTTTGCAGGACTGGCAATGGTATGAATCATGGGCATAAAATGGATAGGCTATATAGGAACAACTTGACCAACAGCCAGAATCTAACATGCCATATGGTATCACTGCAGAGGTGGAGGAAGTAGTTGGGTTCTGCAAAGGGGACAGCAAGAGTGATTAGCTAAGCAGCTTCTCTGCATGGAAAATTCCATATTTAGACACAAGGTCAATAACAGACACTGCTTTTCACGTTGCTTCTTACTTTTATAGCTTGTTAAAATTTATGAACAACTACTTTTTTAAATATGACTCTATTTTTTATTAGTCTGGGAGTTCAGACCAATTTTTAAGATTTGAAATATTGTATAGATTTTATGCTCTTTGTTGGTACGTTGTTAATTTTAGGGAAGCTCACTGCAGCCAGGAAAACAATGCACTTCAAGGCTCAATCAGTTTTCATGGTATGTCCAGGTAGGCTACAAGAGAAAAGGATCCATTGGACTATCTTACACTGCTTCAAACTAACCTTCAAAAAGGTTCTCTTGACTGGCAGCTCTAAGCAAGTACTTTGCTGCCCGCATACTTCTTGGTTTTAATAAGAGTTTCATCAGAGGGGGGTGGGGACCCAGGACATAATCAATTCAAACAAATATAGCCCTTTTCAATGGAGGTGCTGCAGAATTCACAGTTGAAATTGTTTTCTATAGATAGCTCTTGTTCACTCTTCGCCTACGTTGGTATCATATGGAGTGTGGAGGAGACAATGAAGTGCTAAATACTTATTGCTTCTGAGTCTGGAAAGTATTTTATGTCATTCTAATTTTTTTTTCATTTCCTAATTCCATTTTCTGTAAAATGAACATTGTTTGAAAATCTATCATTTTGCTCAAATGATGGTGATGGTAACTAAATAGGAAAGACACACCCGATAAAGTTTGAGAACTTTAGCAAAGGCCCAACAGTTTATTCCTCTGAGCAGTCTAAACTCAAACAGTGCCTCCTCCAGCACCATTAAAGCCTGTGAGAGGATGGCAGCGGCGATGATCCCTTACAGTCAAGGATGTTCACTCCCAAGTAGAGGCTTGTGGATGAATCCATTTATGGCCAAGAAGGCCAATCCTAGAGCTGCAGACTCTGTGGTAAATGCCACAGATGATGGTTGAAGGGAGGGTCCAACCATGGATTTCTTAACCTTGTTTCCTTCTCTTTCTCTCATTTTAATGCCTCCAGGGCTAGACTGTTTTTCATGAAGTAAGAAATATCTTCTCCCATGAAGTATTGCCATGAAGGCCAATCCCAGGCTAGTTTTTCCTAATTTTGATGTTATTGACACACTTCTTAATGTTCACCTTGAGGGTGTCCTTGAAGCATTTCCTCTGGCCTCCGCATGTCCTTTATCCTTGGCTGAGTTGGGAGTATAGCAGTTGTTTTGGTAAGTGTACATCAGGAATGCACATATAATATCCTGTCCACAGCAGCTGATGTTGAATAATCAGCGCTTCCATACTGGAGGTGTTAGCATCAGTAATGACACTGGCATTTTTGCGATGATCCTCTCACTTTATGCCAAGGATCTTCTGGAGGTAGTGCTGGTAAAAGTGTTCCAGGCTTTTTAGGTGGTCCCTGTAGGTCACCCAAGCTTCACGGCTACAGATAAGAGTTGGGGTTACCACAACCTTATATAATAGGAGCTTTGTTTGAGTCCTGATGTTGTGATCGTTGAACACAGGATGATCATTGAACCCACAATGAAAGCCTGTGAGAGGTACCTAATGACTTTAATGGGAATGGAATCTAGCCCAGTGACTTCAGTGAAACTACTTGCACAAGTGAAATTATTGCCTGTTGGCCCTAAAGGAAGAGGCTAGATCTCAGTTGGGCAGAAATCATTAGTACCCTCCCTTCTGTTGTATTTGAAAGAGCATGGTTCCAATAAACAAGAATAAACTTTGCATTTCATGCTTGAAGGGGAATCTTAAGTTAGAAACTGGGCTGGATTTATAGTTGTTATTATTGAAATCTACCACTGAAGTCAATAATGAAATGGCCATTCATTTCAATGGAAGTAGGATTGGTTCCTAGTTTTAAAAACTTATATTTGTGAAAAGAAAGCAGTCTTTTTCTCATAATAAGAGAAAATGTATTCATACATAAATAACTCTTTAACTACCTACTGAAATGAGGATAGCAATATCAGTCCCACAGAACCAAGGTTTCAAAATAGCTCAGCCCTAAAGCTGGTCAAACATTTTCTAAGAGCAGGCTATTTCATTAGAAAATGTTGATTTGTCTAAATGGCAGCATTCCATGGGACTATGCTGATTTCAATGACATTTCATTTCATGCAGACATTTTGGGAATGGAACATTTATTTATTTTTTGTTTTGCTTTGTTTTTTTTCAGTGTAACCTTTTATTAGGAAATGTATTTATGTTATAAAAATACCATAGTCACAACTGAAACTAAAACAATTGAATTAAGACAATCTGTGGGGCATTTTGAAAACTGATACCTTGCACCAATTCAGAATGAAAACAAACGTAAAAAAATAGAATTCTCCCACCACAGAAATTCTGATTCTCATACAGTTTTCGCCAACAGCAAACTGCTAAAGGGCTCATTAATGAGAATCTGGCAAATAACATTCATAGTAGTCAGAGACTATGGTCATTAGATAAAGCAGGAAACATATTTTTTTTCATGCTGAGCCTTTTAGAGTAACGATAACTTTTTGTTGTATATAAAACAGTAGGGAAAATGATTTGATTGAACTCTGACCTTAGCTTAAGTATTGATATTTTGACCTTGGTAACAAAGTAACAATAACGTATGCTAAGAACAGTGAGCAACAAAGAAATTATTGACTAATTAGCATGTGGGCAGGAGACATACAAAGCATTTAGCTTATATTGTGAATTCTCATCCTGAATTATTTGGTGGTACATTGTCCTAATTTAAAGGGAATTATGGAGTTGCAGATGAGTTTGAACTTGAATATATAGGGCATTTAAAAGCGAAGACTGGTTTCAGAGCTAAGACTGATATTGTTCTACCGTATCTTTTCAGCTAGCACCCCTAAAACTGGTTGTGTATGCAGTTGCATCTGTTACTACTTGTTTTCCTTAAATGGACACGCAGCTGCTATTTTATGTGCAGATGCAGAGAAGATGCTCTTGTTATTTAGTCTCCTGAAGATCTTGCTTTTGTTTCTTATTTTTATAAAATAAAGGTGGTTCTGAGCTTGTGGGAAAACATGATAAAAATAAAAAAAAGATAAATGATCTAGAAAATGTTTTAGCTTATTTCTGGCCCTTCCTAAGTACTTGAGATCTTGTTCACCTGGTACTAACAAAATCTTAATCTGTTTTGGAGTAATTTTTAAACCTAGCAGATTGGTAAATATTTGAATGAAAGGGAAATGGGCATAATAATACCAGGCATATTTATTTGAATAAAAGGGAAATGGGTATAATAATACCAGGCATCAGTCTGAGTGCCAAGCAGGTGGCTAAAATTATTCAACACTATCTCACTCAAGCCCAGCAGGATGTGAGAAAGGTTTATCTGGCTGCTGTAGGTCCTCACTCACAGAGCAACATATTCTTATTTATAGTAAATGCAAGGTCTCATATTAATATTGTGCTCTCTTACTCAGGGCAAGAGTTTCAGAACATTTTCATTTTAGCCTGTGCCAGCGCCCTTCTTCTAAAAGTTTTACACCTGTTTCTGCTCTAACAAAAGAAAGGCAAAGTTCTGAGTTACCTCTGAACAAGAAGGAAAGTATTTGATCAAAAGTATAAAACACTTGATATCTGTACTTCCAAATTATTACTATTATTATTGTTAGCCTATTCATTTAAGTGAGAGTTGCAAGATAGTATTCAATATTCCTGGGCTCTGTTGTAAGTAAGAGAAAATGCCAGGTGGTTGTTATTAATATTTCAACAACAACAACAATAATAATCACCTTGCACTTTCTCTTAGCCACAATAGAGCCCAAGAATACTAGATACTATCTTGCAGCCCTCACTTGAGTGAATGGACTCAACAAAGTCAACATGACTGTTTTACATGAATAAAAGTTGCTTTAACAGGCCTGCTAACATTTGGATAGCCCTCTAGTAGAAGACAGGTCAGGTATGGCACATTGCTGGAGTATAGGGACATGTTGGCTATTGACAGCCAGGCAAATCTCTCTTTTGAAATATCTTGGGCTCTTTAATATCCATATGTCTAACTAAGCTAATAAAACCTCCAGGGAAACATTGATTTATATGAACAATATGCTTTGCTTTTGACCTAGTGGCCACATGGCAGGTTTATAGATAGTGTAAAACAGCATATCTCTACTGAAGCTAATAGGGCAACCCCAAATTATGGCAACAAACTTATTTTCCCACATTTAAAAAAATATTATCTGTGTTTGCTGTATATACTCTTTCAGCAATAAATACCTCTTTCCATGTCTGTCTTAATTTGCTCTTCCAAATCCTCAGGAGACACACAGAATTCATTATCTTCACCTTCTGGTGCTTTGGGTTTACACTTCCCACAGCAGCAGTTGAAACAGCAGAACAGACAGCAGCAAAAGTAGCAGCCGGTCAAGAGGCCACAAACTGCAAATAGGCCCTAGATTAAACAAAAGGGAAATCCCCATGAGCATGTGAACTTTCTGTAGCTCATGACAGTGTGTTACAGTCATATGACACATGTAGTCAGATTTTCCAAAGAACTCACAGCTAGGTTTCCAAGTGCTCCACAGTTGCAACTAGAGCCACATTTCCAAAAAGAGTTCAACTACCATTCAAATGCCTTCATAAGGGCCAGATTTATTAGGGCTCCCACCAACTACCATCTTCCTTTGTGACAGGTAAGGTGAGTTTTTCAGAACAATTCAACACAAATACCTCCCCCACCCAATTCTGAGCTCTTGAAAATCTGTTTCCAGTTATTGGCTCTAAGCCCTTTAGAAAATCTTGGAAGTGCAAAACCAGACCCACCTTCCAAATGACTCATGAAAGTAGATCTCTTTGCAGATACATCTGTACTGATAGAATATTGATAAGAAAAAATTAAGAGGAAAAGACAAAACGAAGAAGCCAATGGCTAGTGTGACAACAATAGAACATCTGAGTCCATTCTCACACATTTTGTTGTAAATCAAGGGTGATTTCAATTAAGTTAAAACATGGATGTAACAGAGAAAAAATCCAGCCTCAAATGTGGAATAAATCTGTGGTGCAAAGTTGATGCAATTCTGTTGCCTTCAGGCTTGCTTTTTACAGTAAATTTCATTCTGACCCTTAAACTCAAATAGAGCCCTGTATAAATGATTTAACAAAAGCAGTTCAACCTAAGCAGAATGTTTTCACTGATAAATTAATCATTTGGAAAAAAATGCATGGCTTAATAATGGTACTGTAAGAGTGGTGTTGTAGCTGTGATGGTCCATAAATTTTGTGAGGCAAGGATTTCTTAGGGTGATATCTTTTATTGGACCAACTATGCAGTTGGGATAGAGTTAGGCAGGACATAATGAAGAATGACTTAGATTTGAAAGCATCTAACTTTATCCCACCTACACAGTTGGTCCAAGAAAATATAGCACCCCAAGAAATCCTTGCCTCTTCCTTAATAATGTACGTATCAAATTAACAGCAGGTGCACCGGCACATGCAATTAATGTACCTGCATTTTTTTATACAGAAAATTCAGGCTCATGAAAGTGCTCCCAGGTGTACATCTTCATGTGCAGCCATGTTGGGAGGAAACTGGGCCTGACAAGAGAAGCCCAGTCCAGGGACGCTGCTGCCCTGCTCTACCCTCCTGCAGCAGCCAGGGGGAGTTCCAGGCTCCCCCAGAGCCCAGCCCCAGGCTGGCACAGGGCATAAGTGCTTAGCTCCAAGCTCCAGAGGGCAGGGGGAGCTGTCCTGGCCAGCCTTATCTCCCCCCTCAGCTGGAAGAGAGCTGACTGTCCAGCTGGGACAGCTTCCCCCTATCCCTGGGGCCAGGTGCCAGCCCGATCTCCCCCAACCTGGGATGGAGCTTCAAGTCAAATTGGGACAGCTCTCTCCTCCCCTGCAGAGATCTGGGCTTAGCCAGGCAGCAGTGTGGCTCCCTGTTGCCTGGGCTGACTGGGAGCAATTTGCTCCTAGTCAGCATCTATACATGCAGTGTGGTGCATTAGTTAATGTACTGTTTTTCTAGTGCCTATACCTACAGGTGCAGTAATGCTTGTGCATGTGTAGATTTGTCTAATGCACAGTAAAATGTCTTGTGTTGACACACCCAACATGGAGTAATGCAGAGGCAGCACGAATGAACCCATCTGCCTCCCATCCCTTCCCCTCCCCTCTGCTGGCCTTGCCGCTGTGGTGGCTGCTTCTTAGATCTCCAAGCCCTGCTCCCCGCAGGTGTCAGTGCCAGGGTGAGGAGGGGGGTCTCAACTAGCCCAGGGCCCACCAGTTTGTTTGCTTAGGGCCTACTAAAGGGTTAATCTTGCCCTGCTCATCTGGGCTAAGTACAGACAATCAAAAAGCTGGAGGCTGAATCAATTCAGTCTTCACAGGTTAGTCTAAGTTGCATATATTGAATGGACAAAAGTGAACAGAGATTCACTTTTGATTCCAGAAATGTAGCCACCTGCCTGCAATGACCCAGGCCAGAAGCCACAGGTTGCTAGAGCATGCTTCCCTGGCAGGTTGGAGCAGGCAGCTTGGGCCAAGACTGGTCTGCCCACCCTGAAGGGGCAGTTTGAAGGGAGGTGCAAAGCATCCTGGGATGCTGGATGACTGTTAGTTAACTTAAATCTGGAAGAGATCTGGGACAGAAGTTCAATAAACCCCGTTGAACTTAAATCAGTTGAGTCTGATACGATATCCATCCAGGTTTATGTTAAATTGGTTTTGGCCATTTTGAAACTGGTTTATGTGCACTGAACTTCTGCTGGATTCCAGATCTGAACTGGTTTCTGATCACTTATACCAGTTTATGGGTGCAGACAAAGTGACAAGTTTCGCCTGATCTGGCCACAGAGAAAGCAGGTTATAGCTGTGACCAAACACAAGGGGTCCCCCAAGGCTCTGTCCTTGGACTTATATTGTTCAACATCTTCATTAATGATGTGGACATTGGAGTCAGAAGCGGACTGGCTAAGTTTGCTGACGATACCAAACTCGGGTAAAGCATCCACACCTGAGGACAGGAGGCTGACCTGGACAGGCTCAGGAAATGGGCAGATGAGAACCTGATGGTGTTTAACACCAAAAAATGCAAGGTTCTCCACCTTGGGAGGAAAAACCTGCAGCATCCTTACAGGCTCGGCAGTGCTACGCTGGCTAGCAGTATGGATGAAAAGGACTTGGGGGTCATGATTGACCACAAGTTAAACATGAGCCTTCAATGTGATGCTGAGGCTAGTAAAGTGACCAAAACGCTGGCTTGCATCCATAGATGCTTTTCAAATAAATCCCAGGACGTCATTCTCCCATTTTACTCGACCTTGGTGAGGCTGCAGCTGGAGTACTGCATCCAGTTTTGGGCTCCACAATTCAAAAAGGATGTGGAGAAGCTTGAGAGAGTCCAGAGAAGAGCCACGTGCATGATCAGAGGTCAGGAAAGCAGACCTTACAATGACAGGCTGAGAGCCATGGGGCTCTTTAGCCTCAGAAAGCGCAGGCTCAGGGGTGATCTGATGGACACCTATAAGTTTATCAGGGGTGTTCACCAGAGCGCACCAAGGGATGACAAAGTCAAACAGTTATAAACTACTGCAAGACCATTCCAGGCTGGACATAAGGAAGAATTTCTTTACTGTCCAAGCCCCCAAGGTCTGGAATAGCCTGCCGTCAGAGGTGGTTCAAGCACCCACATTGAACGCCTTCAAGAGAAATTTGGATGCTTATCTTGCTGGGATGCTATGACCCCAGCTGACTTCCTGCCCTTTGGGAGGGGGGCTGGACTCGATGATCTTCCGAGGTCCCTTCCAGCCCTAGTGTCTAAGAAATCTATGAAATCTATGAAGTGCATGGCTGCAGATAGCTTAAAAAATGGTTGATTGGGTGAAAATCTGATCCCTCATTGCATAAGGTACCAGATAAACATGTTCCAAAATGTAGCTGTCTCTACTGCCTTTCCCCCCTTGCATTCTGAAAACAGCCAGGGCTAGCAGAGAGCTTGGCCATTGCTATGGGAACATGGCTGCAGGCTGCAGCTGGCAGCCAGATAACCCTTCTCCTGGAACCAAGAGTAAACTTCTGTTTGGTCTGGGGTAATGTTGTAACTCAGCACACTTTGCAGAAATTGTTCTGAGTTACAGCTGGGAGCTGGACTTCTGTCTGCACCCTATGGCTGCGTCCATGCATGCATGGACATTTGGCTCCCCAGGGACAACTAGCAGCGGTGCACCTTAGGTTGCCACTAGTTGTCCTTGGAGAATGCCTGTGCCACATGCCCTGTGGCAGGTTACCCCAGGTGGGATGGGGTAACCTGCTTTACCTGGGGTCCTGGGGAGGGGGAGCTCCCAGGGCTGCAGCAGTAGCAATCCTGTTGCACAGAGCCTGGCTGGCAGCTGGAGCACAGTTCCAGGTGGCCCAGCTCTGGTTTCTAGCAGCGCACACTGCCCCAACACATGCTGCTCTGCTTTTTTTTCTGTGGGATATCCAGGGGTCAAACCCCCTTCCTCTCGTATTGCTCCCTTGGAGCATGAAGAACAACTGAACATATAGTATATGGCACTGCATGGCCACGCTTGTCTGGATGGAGCCCATTTCTGTCAGTAGCACTAAGTCAATGGGACTATTCACATGCTTAAAGTTAACCACATGAGTGTGTTACAGGATCAAGGCCAATGGTAATCCTGCAACTATGTACAAAGTGAACTAGATGTTTTCAAAAGATGGGACAGAGTCAGACTTAGTTGCAGTTCATTAAAAAGGTTATTCCTTCTTTCATGGAAAACTTGCCTGCTAAACATTTACTAGATGTTTCAATAAATCCCGAAACATTTGGACAGAGGTACTAGTCTGCTTATATAATTTGTGTGGTAATGGGGGGAAACAACCATAGCAGAGCAAGTGAGCTACAAATATCCTTAAATGCATCATCCAGCAACATCACAAATTGGATCTGAATGACATTTCCAGTATTTAAAATATCACTTTTGGGGGTACATTTAGTAAACCAAGAGTTACCTTGGTCTGCTCTACATGCAGCTTTTGTGATGGTGGTGCAACCATTTTATGAAGGGGTGTGGCTTTTAATGAAGTAGTAAATTATTAATCACTGCCTCCGTAGCAGAAGCAATTATAGCCATAGCTGGGGTTGATATAACTCTAGTATCACAGCATGGACTGGATCTATGCTACAGAGTTTTGCTGGACAAAGTATATGAAAAAAATCAAACCTCTACTACAGCAGCTACATTAGTAAATCCTCTGGTCTGGACACAGGAAGACAAAATTGGGTTCTGTTCCTGTAAAAAAATCTTAAGTATGGATACACATAGGCAGAACATGAATTCTGCTAGTAAAACCCTGTATTGCAGACTAGGCCTCAGATATGTCTACACGTGCTATTAATTCAATGTAGGTTTACTGTGCAGTAAATATACTGCACAGTAAGCCTACCCAGGAGCATATCTGCATGTGCTCCCTCTTGGGAGCAGATTTGCTCCCTATGGGCGTGCCCACATAAGCAGAAACATGTATTTCCCCAGGGGATAAACAGCACAAACAGCACAATATGTGCCACTGCTGCTTGTCCGGGGGAAATACCCATGTACAAGTGCTCTGGCATGTGTCACATTGCTCCAGGTAAACTGGCCCCAGCAGACTTACCTCGGGCTCTAAGGGCCTCTGGGGGCTTCAGCTCTGGCAGTCCAGCAGCACAGAGACTGGCTGGAAGCCGGAGTTTGGCTCTGGCCGGCCTGGCTTTGGTTTCTGGTGGTGTATGCTGCTGCCATATGCACTGTTCTGTTTTTTTAAGGCATGCATTTTTTTGACACTGGGATTTCCCAGTCATGGCACACAACCCTGCCCCCCCAGATCCTCCCCAATGCTACAAAATAGCAGCATGGGAAACAGTGCATGCAGTGTGCAGCACCACGAATGGGTCTGCAGCGCTGCATACTGCACGTCTACACTAATCTGGATCCACCCAATGGGAGCAGCCTGGTTGGTACAGGGCTGCTCCTACCTTGCTCTGTCCTGTAGCAGCCAGGGGGAGATCCAAGCTCCCTCTGGGTGCTACTCTGGGGGCCGGCAGGAGAACTTTGCTGGCTGTAGCAGCAGCTGTCTTCTGGCCCCATACACACTGGGAGGTGTCCTGATGTGCACTGGGCAGGGAAAAAGCTGCTGCTGCAGAGCAATCCTGCCCCATGCATATGGGAACAAGCCCTGTGCCCAGCGGGGCTTCCCTGCACAGCCTGCCAGTTCTGAGCCAGCTCTAGGCTCCGTGATGCACAGAGATCTGGAGCTGGCTGGGACCTGCCCTTCCCCTGCAGCATTTTCCCAGCCCTGTGTCCTGATCAGGTGATTGAGCCACAGGGCTGGGAAAAAGTCCCTTGCCCCAATCTACCCAGTCCTTTGCCCAAATCCATCCATGGGGCAGCTAGCAAAGCCCCCTCAGCTGGGCGGAGAATCCCTTGCTGCTAGCTACCCCACCAGTGGGACAGCTTTCAGCTGCCACTCAGTTGACTGGGGACTCCTCACCCAGCTGGGGGGTTGCTGCTAGCTGCCCCATTGGTAACTCCCCAGTCCTGGCATTACTCAGCTCCCTGCTCCTGTGGGGAGCTGGGAGCCCTACAGTGCTGGGACAGGGTGTTGGCAGAGAGTGACCCAGTCCTTGTGCTGATGTGGCTCCCAGAGATTTGGCTCCCAGAGCTGGGAGCTGAGCAATGCCAGTACTGGGCCTCTGGCACAGTATTGACTGCACAGTTAGCTTAGTATCTATATTTACAGCTACTAGCTAACTGCTCAGTAGATTAGTTTACTGCACAGTATTTTATTAGCACGGTTATTGGTGACACTTTACTGCACAGTAGATTAGTCTGCTGCTCAGTAAAGCATCTTGTGTACACACACCCATACAGTCAAATGATGGCTGCTGTATAAAGCTCTGAAGGAAACTCATTTGTTACCAGCCCCAGTACCTAGATATAAGAGGTGGAAGAGCAATGTGGTTGGGGAAATGGGAAAAGAGCCTTTGATGACCTGCAGTGTTTATACTCTGGAAATAGGCAAATTTTTCTTGGGTAGTGAAAGAGAGCCCAGCTTGTAATAATCTTGGAATGACCATATTTAAACATTTTGGAATTTTCCTATGTTTTTCACAGGAGTTTTAAAAACATTGACTGGAGTAACTTATTTTAATGGGACCTCAGTCCCATTACACATCTGTGCGGATCTCCAGAAGAAAATGCTATAAAAACAGAACACAAATTTCTCTCCCAAGCCCTCCCACAGCCTCTAGGATTTCTCAGCTTGTGAATCAAGATGACAGCTGTTGTCTCTGCTCTTACTCTCCTGTCCACATTCATTATCTATTTGTATTTATATAGTCCAACACAAGCTTCTGCTAAAGAGTTTGTTGGTGCCTCTTCACTCTCCATGAACTCAGCACTGGTGCAAGGAGGCTGAGAGCAAAGAGAAAGAAGGCTCATCCAGCACTAGAAGCAACTAACAGCAAAAGAAGTCCAGAGTGCAACAAGGGGCATCAGCAGCAGGAACCTATGAGCTGCCTAAACTGGATTTAAATAGGGGGCAGCTGCAAAATTTAAATGAGGGCACTGAAGATGGAGATTTTGCCCAAGCTTATCCTCATTTATTAGCACAAATTCAGACTTTTAGATGTCTAGTTTTGAAAGCCTGATTAATTAATTTGTCTTCTAGTAGTTTCTGTCCCTGCTGTATGAATTATGCCTTTCTGTCCTCTTGAAACCAGCCAAGTAGAGGTTCTTGGAGAAAAGATATTGGATGAATTAGACCACTGGTCTGATCCAGGATGGCAATTTTTATGTTCTCGTGTTCTAAAATCAGATCTTTCATATGGCCTTCCATCACAGTGTTTTTGGGCCACACAATGAAGATAATTTTTCCATTTACACCACTGGAATCTTTGTTCCCCTAAGATTTTGTTGATGGAAATAGCAAGGTGAATAGAAACCAAAGTGTGGGATTTTCCATATTTGTGCTGCTGCTGGCTTGTTACACTTGCTGACACTCTGATTTGAAATGTGGGGATTTATGATATATTTACACACAAAAACATCACAGGGTTACAATTACATAATATGTCAAACTAGCAGAGCTCTTATGTCATCAGAACATTCAAAATATGCTTTTCCTCGATCAGTTTGCCAATTTTTGATGTATCATTCTTGTCTTTTCCTGTTTTCTTCCTCCTCTCTGCAGTTCTCACCTATTCTTCTACTTCCTCTCTCCTGCCCCCTCACAGTATACTGAAGGTGTGCATATATATGACACTATAATCAGACACTGTGTTATGTTTTATTATTGCTTACGTATGCTGTGTGCTATATATAGCAAAGTACACAGCTAAATTTGTACTGTAATAACTTATTAGCTGGTTGTCATACAAGTAGGACTCTCATTTTTGAGAAATGAGTCATTTTTATTTAGTCATTATTGAAAAGAAAGTCAAAATTAACCTGATGCTCCAGTTTCAAATATAATTAATGTCTCAAAGTGTCACAAAACATGCATCGTATTTAACTATTTAGTAAATTAAAAGAGCAAAGGAAAAATCTTGACTAGCACTTTTTGAGGGAGAGCTTAATTCTGCTTTTGGCAGTATCTAAACATTCATGACATTTAATGCAGCTTCTAGGATTTCAGGCCCTGTTCTTATTAAGCCTGAAAGGGGAACCCCTGCTCAAGGACACAGCTGCCTCCAGGTATGTTCAAAGAACCATCTAAATGGAACAAGTTTTAGGATCCAAGCTAAACCAAGTTAGGAGGCTGAGTGATTTCATAGCTTCCTCAGTAAACCTTAAATAGAAAATATGGCATTTCTTTTATCACTCACCTTTGCCCACCAGCTTGAAAGCATGAAGTATGTGTTAACATTTTCTTCACCAAATTGTTCTGCCACATACAGCCCTAATGATCCATACTTATCATAGATGTTTCTCTTGGACAGGTCAGTCAGAATGGCATGAGCATTGTTGATCTCTTTAAATTTTTCTGCTGCATCTGGATTGTCAGGATTCTTGTCAGGATGATATTTCAGAGCCAATTTTCTTAAACATGAGAGAGAGAGAAAGAAGGAAAATGGTATTTTTGCTATAAATACTTATATTAGTAGATGCATTTTCATTTTGAACAGAAAGTTTGGCTTCTGCTTTTTTTGTTTCAGTTTTTATGTAGATTGAGTTAAATGCAAAGGGTCTATGGAAAGACTAACTGCAAGCAATGAAAAGGAAACAGAAAGTGTATATGTGGGGGCAGGGGGAGGTTCTAGGATAGACTTCAAGAAAGAGAGCAGAGTGTGTAGGGAAGCTTTTGTGAGAAAATTGATAAACGCTGTGCTAAAAATAATGGTGATCAATCCTAAATATGACTATATAATATTAATAGTTATAACATTGGCAATAATAGCTGTAATAGCAGTAATATATAAAAGCAGTAATAAATTTGCAGTAATAAAAATAATATAGGGTGAAATCTTAGCTTTGTTGAAATCAATGGCAAAATATCATTTAAATAAAAAGGGTTAAGATACCAACCTCAAAATATACTTCCCAGTTTATTTATAAAGCAACATGCTTCTTACCTCTCAAGCTTTTTGACATCGAATAAAAAAGGGATTTTAAAAGTAGATATTAGAATTCAAGTTTGCTCCCAAGAGGGTACATCTATATGAGACACTTAGAGTGCAATAGACTAATTCTATTGTACATTAGTGCAGTGGGCAAAACCTGTGCTAATGCACAGTAGATTTAGTTTATTGTGCATTAATGTCACAAAAAGACTGCGCTATTGCGCAGTAGTGCCAATTACAGCATATTTAGTACCTGTCATTACGTATCATTAATGAACGTGTAGACATACCCAGAGGGATTTATGCCAGGCCCTAAAACATATCTCTAATGTTACAGAAAAGTCCTCCCAGGACATGGTATGGCTGTAGTGTTTCTATTATATATAAAGGGACACGTACTTTAATTCTATTATGTTAAATACATTAGGTCAGCATTTCTCAGCCTGTGGGTTATGACCCAAAAGTGAGTGGCAAAAATATTTGAAAGGGTCATGACCATCACAGAAAAATACGGCTTTCCCTTTGTAGGCTGGCAGAGTTCCAGCTGTGGTGCCAAAAGTGAGAGAAGTAAAAGGGGGGAGGGGAAGGACATGTTGCCCTCACCTCCACCCACTGCCCGCTGCTTGTGCCCTGGGCTGTGGCTCTACCCTGCCACCATGGCCCAGCTGCTACCTCCACTGCTAGAGCTGTGGGTTGGGGTGAGGGTCACTGGCATGGCCAGGGGGTTGTTTTCTACTTAAACTATTTACTGGCTTGGGACTGGCCATTAGCATTTACAAATGGGTCCTAGTAAAAAAAACGTTGAGAATCACTGCTTTAGGTAATATATTAAACACAGACTTCAGTTAATATTTTAAACACATACTTTAGTTGATGTTATAAAAATGTTTAGACTGAAAATTGACACATGGTAAAAGCCTAGATTCTAAGTCATCTTTCAACAAAAGTTTTCAAAAGGCCATTTTATAGGAAGAGTATCAGCTTATTTGGTGCATCCAAATAATCAGAAGTATCTTCATCAAGGTTAAAGGCATATGCCTCCAAGTGCAGTGGTTCTCAACCTTTTTTGTATCAGGATCCATTTGTAAACACTGATGGCTAGTCTCAACCCATTGCCCCTCACTCCCAACCCTCTGCCCTTTACCCCCAGGTCCCACTCCCATAGCATGTGCAGCTGAGGGTGGGTGTGTGGGACAGGGGTGGGTGTGTGGGGCATGGAGAGCCCCAAGCAGCCCCTTGCAGGCTGACCCTTTCATATATTCTCATGACTCATTTTTGGGTCGTGATCCATGGGTTGAGAAACGCTGTCCTAGTGGACCCAACAGGGCATGTCCCTATGAGTGCTCATGTGAGGTTTGTGGCACTGCTAAGCTATCTGCAGGACTGCAAACTGCATGTGCAGCACATACACAAGTCCCCTGTGCTGATAATTTGCAGTGTGGTAGTTTTTTGATACAGGGAGATCCCATTGTGAAAAATTGTGCCAAAAAAGAGCAGAATGGTGCATATGGCTGCAACATGCACTGCCTGAAACCAGAAGGTGTCCGGCAAGAGGAACACTTAGGCATCCAGCCAAGCTCTGTGCTCTTGGATTGCTGCCACTGGAGGTTCCCAGCAATCTCGGTAAGGCCCCCAGCCCAGGTGCTGGCCCCAGCCTCCTCTGCCAGGCCCAGGGCAATCAGCTGTGTGCCAGAGTGTGCCTAAACAGGTGTGCCCGGGAACAAATAGCAGAGGCACAAATACATGCCGCTTCTATTTGTCCCCAGGCAAAAGCACATTCCCACTTACGGGGATGGTCCCACAGGGAGCATTTTTTTAAAGTGATATATATATTAAAGTTGACTGATTAAATAAGGAATACCCATATAGAAAATCAGAAGGAAGACTTCAGGCATCTTTCCCAGACCATTTCTAAGCTAAGTTTCTAGGACACATTCCATTTCAGGAATGATTTTCATACAACATATTTTCTAACCAGTGCTGATCTCTAGTGGTAGAGATAAGTCACCTTTTATTTGAAGGTCATATTAATTAGGATCAAGAAAGCCAAAACAGGAGGGGATGTAGATATACAAAAACAGGAGAACTAGAGGGGAGAAATGAATATGTTAAACTTATAATTTTGATGATTAGCCGGGCATTAAAACACATCCTATCTGAAATGACTGGATGCGAAAAACACGTCAGAAAAGGATGAGTGAATTCTTGGAGCACTTAAACACAACACAGAGACGGTAGAAACAAGTACTGAAACCCAATATTTCATTTAACACATGCACCATTTAAGAAGAGATTGGTACAGCATTTATGAAGGGGCACAGTGTGCCTTGGTGAACAATGGGATGGAAAAAGGACAGGTTCTCAATTAAAGGGGAGCGGCAGAGTAGAATAAGCTAAGGAATTTGCCCAGACGGCAAAGTGCTCGAGAACGATGCAAGAAGTAGTAAGATCGATGCCTGTATTGTACAGTGGAATGGCTCACTTTTGGCCCAGCATGCCTGTGCTGTGGCGCAACTGAAAGGTAGGCTGGCTTAAAGGACATGTTCACAGGAGCTTGTGGTCCCTGCATGAGTCTTTAGAGAAGGTATGCCTTCTCCGGGGCACCTTGCAGGAAAGCTGGTTTGCTGAACGGAGACATGGGAGCTGAGCAGGGTGTAGAAGGATCGATATCTGCATTATCTGGTGGGGCCCGTAGCTCCCCCGGCCTCCCGCTGCTGCAGCCATGGCACAGTTGAAAAGGAGCCTGGGACAAAGGGAATGTTCTCACGTGCTTGGAGCCCCTGTGGAGGCAGGCCACACGTGAGAGTATTTGGAGGAACACCGCCTACTTCACTGCACCTAGCAGGAAAACTGGTTGCCGCCTTTCCTGAGAGACATTATTGCTGTCATGCAAACCCAAGCTGGTGGCACTGCCCTTGGCCTTCACTGCTGCCTCCCAGAAAGCGACCCCATTCCTGCCTTTGAAGAGCTTGATCTTTGATGGAGGGCCCAAAGCAGTGGCAGACTCACATTATGATTGACGGGCAGCAGTGGCCCAGAAATGGTGGCAGGGTGGGAATTAGATTAGATGGCAGAGTGCTGGCTTAGAATGTTCTTTGGCCGTTAGGCACGGGGACAAATGGAACGAGACGCCTGCCAGCTCCGGCACTGCCACCAGCCAACTCAGGAGATCTGCACCTTCACTCCGGGATGCCCCCACCCCCGAGCTCCCAGAGACACATCCCCGTCTGCTGCCATCGCCGAGGACACCACTGCCCCCCCAGGCATAGCGGGTGGCCTCCTCTGCTTCTGGCCCTCTGCCAAAAGGTCAGCCCTGCCAAGGCAGGAATGGGGCAGGTAGGCCAGAGCTGCTTGCTGGCAGGTGTCTCGTTCCGTTTGTTTGGGAGACCCTCTTCTTTGGCCGTTGTGCATGGGGACAGAGGAGAGTGTGGTGGCTGGGGCGGGGCGGCCTTGTGAGGGGAGCTGCGGCCGACAGAGTTGAGGGGGAAGAGGCATTCTGGCCTGTGGTGGCAGAGGTGGCATCAGCCTTGTTGCACGACTGGGGAATTAGCTCAGACGGTAGAGCGCTTGCTTAGCACGCGAGAGGTAGTGGGATCAATGCCTACATTCTCCATCGGGGCCTGTCGCTTTCTGTCCCTGCCTGCCCTGCGGTTGCGGCTGTGGCTGTGGCCCAGTTGAAAAGCAGGCTGGGCCAAAGGACAAGTTCTCAGGCGCTCAGGACCCCTGCAGAGACAAGCCGCAGGTGAGAGTCTGTGGAGGAGCTCCACCTCCAGTGGTGCGCCTTGCAGGAGAGCTGGTTTGCTGCACAGGGCCACAGGCGCAGAGCAGGGTGTAGAAGGAGACGAGGGGCATGGTGCAGCTGGGTGAAAAAAGCAACAGTGAATGGGAGGTGCAAGAGAGCTCTTGGCCAGGTAAAAGAGATGTGCAAGCCAGGTAGGAGTCAAACCTACGATCTACTGATCCGTAATCAGACATGTTATCCATTGCACCACTGGCCCGAGCCACAACCAGGACCTGCCTTGTGCTGGTAAAGGGTGAGCCTGTTTGCCTGAGCCCAGCACCCCCTTTCCCTCCTGGCAAGCTGATGGGGACCTGGGCAGGAGGGCGCAGAGCTCACCAGCGGGCTCTTTGGCCCCAGTTCCACTTGGCTACTGCAGCCAGGCTGGGCATGAGGCAGGGGCCGCTGCCCCACCTGCGGGAGGCGGCCCAGTCCAAAGGGGCTGGCGTGGGGACAGAAATGGACACCTTGCCAAGGTAGATGGTGCCTCTCGCTCTGCCCGGGGCCTGGCTTGGCGGCAATGGGCCACTCAGTGCAGGCCCATGCACCTGCCTTCTTGTTCTCCAGGGGCGTGCCTGAGGGAGCCTGTGCATGGAGGCCCTCAAGCCGAGGAAAGTGTGGCCTGCCACCTTCAGCCCCCCTTGTGGCAGCCACCTGACCTGCCTTTGATAGCTCAGCTGGGAGAGCGGAGGACTGTAGGC